CCTTTTTTTGGCAACAAAACTGACGCCTTTTGCAAGGAATCATGCTTACATTAACCACAATACTTGCAGTCAAATGCAAACAAAAACAATACTCTGATAATTTATGCATTGTCTTTGAAACTGATTGGTCCACACCAGAGACAGCTTTCTTTAGAGCCTAGTCTCACATGGTGTTCGACCAGATGATACTGGCAAAGGAGGTCCTATGAAACATTGTGACTGTGTTGATGCAGCAGCAGCATCACAACATTGTGACTGTTGATGCAGCAGCAGCAGCATCACAACATTGCGGCTGTGTTGATGCAGCAGCAGCATCACAACACTGTGGCTGTGTTGATGCAGCAGTAGCATCACAACATTGTGGCTGTGTTGATGCAGCAGCAGCATCACAACATTGTGACTGTGTTGATGCAGCAGTAGCATCACAACATTGTGGCTGTGTTGATGCAGCAGCAGCAGCATCACAACATTGCGACTGTGTTGATGCAGCAGCATCACAACATTGTGGCTGTGTTGATGCAGCAGCAGCATCACAACATTGCGACTGTGTTGATGCAGCAGCAGCAGCAGCAGCATCACAACACTGTGGCTGCCTGGTCAGTCAACAAAGAACGATCACCACCCCCTGCAAGGACTTCCACTGACTGTTGCGTCAAAAGTTTCCCGTAAGCGAGCAGACTTCGCGCGATCAGTTGCACGCAACCCGAATCGCTCGTGACGTGGGCGTCTCCGCAACCAGTTGCGAGAAAATTGCTCACAACTGGAATCGTGTTTTTTAAATCCTTTATATTAAGTTCACTTGCTTGCTTGCTTGCGCGCTTACGACCGTGCAAATCTTTCGGTCGTTTTTTTAACCCACTTCCCGTGATCCAATCGAGCTGACATTTTGCACACAGACTCGTTGTGCGTGACAATTTATTTTCGTGAACATTTTTTCCCAAAATTTTCCACTTTTTAGGATTTTTTTTTCATATTTAATTTAAAATACCAATGTGATAAAAATTAAACTCTTACTCAAGAAAAACAGAAATGAATAATAAAATAAAACCGATGCCACGCATATAAAGGATTTATAGTGAAAAACGTTGTTTTTACGGGTTAATTTTTTGGGGTTTTTTTTTAAACACGAAACAATAATTCAAGAGCGGACAAAAGCGCTCGAGTCGGCTTAGGCTGCGGGATTAACGACTTCACGGGCCGACGGTCAAACTCCAAGCATTGCCGACCAGACCAAGCGTGCTGCGATTTGCCCTTTTAGCTCAACGTTTTGGCAACGCTTGGCACCCACGCACCGGCTGGGGGTCACGGTCGGCATCGGCGGTGACGCTCGTGCCAAGAAGGTGGCGTGGGTTCGACTCTACAGAGTGAGTGGAGTTTGTGTGATCTCCCCATGTTCTACAGAGCGAGTGAGTGGAGTTTGTATGATCTCCCCATGTTCTACAGAGCGAGTGAGTGGAGTTTGTGTGATCTCCCCATGTTCTACAGAGTGAGTGAGTGGAGTTTGTGTGATCTCCCCATGTTCTACAGAGCGAGTGAGTGGAGTTTGTATGATCTCCCCCTGTTCTACAGAGTGAGTGGAGTTTGTGTGATCTCCCCCTGTTCTACAGAGTGAGTGGAGTTTCTGTGATCTCCCCCTGTTCTACAGAGTGAGTGAGTGAGTGGAGTTTGTGTGATCTCCCTCTGTTCTACAGAGTGAGTGAGTGGAGTTTGTGTGATCTCCCCCTGTTCTACAGAGTGAGTGGAGTTTGTGTGATCTCCCCCTGTTCTACAGAGTGGAGTTTGTATGATCTCCCCCTGTTCTACAGAGTGAGTGAGTGAGTGGAGTTTGTGTGATCTCCCCCTGTTCTACAGAGTGAGTGAGTGGAGTTTGTGTGATCTCCCCCTGTTCTACAGAGTGAGTGGAGTTTGTGTGATCTCCCCCTGTTCTACAGAGTGGAGTTTGTATGATCTCCCCCTGTTCTATAGAGTGAGTGAGTGGAGTTTGTATGATCTCCCCTTGTTCTACAGAGTGAGTGAGTGGAGTTTGTGTGATCTCCCCTTGTTCTACAGAGTGAGTGAGTGAAGTTTGTATGGTCTCCCCCTGTTCTACAGTGAGAGTGAGTGGAGTTTGTATGATCTCCCCCTGTTCTACAGTGAGAGTGAGTGGAGTTTGTATGATCTCCCCCTGTTCTACAGAGTGAGTGGAGTTTGTGTGATCTCCCCCTGTTCTACAGAGTGAGTGGAGTTTCTGTGATCTCCCCCTGTTCTACAGAGTGAGTGAGTGAGTGGAGTTTGTGTGATCTCCCTCTGTTCTACAGAGTGAGTGAGTGGAGTTTGTGTGATCTCCCCCTGTTCTACAGAGTGAGTGGAGTTTGTGTGATCTCCCCCTGTTCTACAGAGTGGAGTTTGTATGATCTCCCCCTGTTCTACAGAGTGAGTGAGTGAGTGGAGTTTGTGTGATCTCCCCCTGTTCTACAGAGTGAGTGAGTGGAGTTTGTGGGATCTCCCCTGTTCTACAGAG